AGAGGGCATTTCAGGCTGTTGATTGCAGCTCAGCTTCTCCTGCTCCCCAGTCCGGTTCCTCCCCCCGCCCCCTCAGGTGTCAGTAATCCCAAGGGCACTCTTGAATAAACATCCTGTCCTTGAAACTTCATCTCAGAATCTGCTTCCTGGCGAACGTAACTTGCAACAGAGTTCAGCAAAACCAGTCATTTTATTACAGAATCCAGATCAAAAAAGGGCTTTAAGGGCTGGGCACAGAGGCTCATGCCTGTAATCCCAGCACTCTGGGAGCCTGACGCAGGTGGATCACCTGAGGTCAGGAGTTCAGACCAGCCTGGCCAACATGGTAAATTCCTGTCTCTACTAAAAATAAAATATTAGCCAGTCATAATGACACATGCCTAGCTAATTGAACTGAGCTGCAATCAACAGCCTAAAACACCCTCTAGGGTATAAGGGTAGAATGCCCCTCATCTATCAGTCCCTGGATGTGGGCTGATAATCCCAGCTATTCAGGAGGCTGAGGCAGGAGAACCACTTGAACCCAGGAGGTGAAGGCTGTAGTGAGCTGAGATTGTACCACAGCAGTCCAGCCTGGGCGACACATAGCAAGACTGTGTCTCAAAAAAAAAGAGCTTTATGATAAATAGATTTCTATAAAATTGCTTCACTCATTGAATACAGCACGGTTATGGTGTCTGCACGTTTCTCAGACAAGCCAAACCTAGCCTGCTCAGCAGTCTCACTGAAGAGACTGACTTATCATTGGCACCCGGATTTTCGCACCATCCATTCCTGTGTGAAACCCTTCTAGCTCTAGGAAGTGAATATCATTGCCAGCAATCAGGATAACAGACGACCCAAGTTGTGCTGTGCACAGATCTGTTGATCTTGATTCTGCAAATAGTCAATGGCATTGAATTACATGAGTCCAGTTTTCAAAGCTGGACTAGATGTTTAGAGGGTCAAATTATAAGACACAGTTTCCACATTGGATAACAGTTTGAGAGTCCAGGTGCAATAATCCTATATTCGGAGGAGGTAACTTTTATAGCGCTATAAAAGCTAAGATTACCAAAGCCTATCCCTGGAAAGACTAACAAAGCAGCCCATCGATGATGGTGGTGATAATGATGAAAATGAAATGGGGGACATTCCCTCTTAACTGTATCTAATTTAAGACACTATTACATGGGGCGTGGTAGCTCATGCCTATAATCCCAGCACTTTGGGAGGCCGAGGCGGGTGGATCACTTGAGGTCAGGAGTTCAAGACTAGCCTGGCCAACATGGTGAAACCCCATCTCTACTAAAAATACAAAAATTAGCCAGGCGTGATGATGTGTGCCAATAGTTTCAGATACTTGGGGAGGCTGAGGTGGGAGAATCGCATGAACCTTAGAGGCAGAGGTTGCAGTGAGCCAACATTGTACCACTGCACTCCAGTCTGGGCAACAGAGCGAGACCCTGTCTCAAAAAACAAACAAAAAAAAAGACAGTATTAAAAGCTTTGAATATTGAGACAGTTGAGTCTTTAAAATACTTTAAAAAAAAAAAAAATGCTTCTCGCCGGGCAAGGTGGCTCACACCTGTAATCTCAGCACTTTGGGAGGCTCACGGGTCACCTGAGGTTGGCAGTTCGAGACCAGCCTGACCAACATGGAGAAACCCTGTCTCTACTAAAAATACAAAATTAACTGGGCATGGTGGTGCATGCCTGTAATCCTAGCTACTTGAGAGGCTGTGGCAGGAGAATCTCTTGAACGCAGGAGGTGGAGGCTGTAGTGAGACGAGATCGGGCCATTGCACTCCAGCCTGGGCAACAAGAGCAAAACTAGGTCTCAAAAAAAAAAAAAAAAAAAAAATGCTTCTCACTTATCTTCCCTATGCATCCCAAAATTTATAAACTTGTAAACTTAACATCTGACCAAGAACATTGCTATAAAGATGATTCTTCAGCCCAATAAGATCAGCCAGACTTCTGATCATTTACCTTTTTTGGGGTTAATTGTACAATTTCTTTAATGTGGAATTCATAAAATGTCGTGGCAGGGTTTCTCACACATTTGTAAAATGTTCTTCAAATGATAGAAATGGCTCTGTCATGAAGCCAGAGTTTTTACACAGTTTCTCTTAGAGAAATAACATTCTTTATCCTAGATCCGATGTCCAGTTTTCACAAGCTGATTGCTGAGAAGGTTCTAGGCGACGTCTGTTAAAAAGCATTGCTTTCTGTTAATTAGACACGTGCAAGCCAGCCAGCGCACCATAGCCTTAATTGCAGAAATGATCCACACTGCTAGTCTCGTTCATGATGACATTATTGACGATGCAAGTTCTCGAAGAGGAAAACACACAGTTAATAAGATCTGGGGTGAAAAGAAGGTACGTCTTTTTGGTTTTTTAAAGTCTCTCTTACCAAATCACATGCTTTTTGGACCACAGTTGTTTTTCAGCTTTGTCTCATTAATAAGTGAAATATGCTTGCTCAAATGTAATGTGGTCTTCCAAATTTCAAAAAGGTATTCATGTCTTATCTATATTACAGATACTTGATAAATTAGTAATAGAAAATGCCATAGAAACATAAACTTAGTATTTCTCATAAAATTTCTTTGGTTATAAGGAAAGGGATTTTCATGGATCTCCAAAAATGTATTTCTTAAGGAATCATACATTTTACTTTTGAGGTTTGATTACCCAGATTCAGTTTAATTTTTTAAAATTTGCTTAATTGAGTGCTTCATGTAAATGTCAAAGCAAAAAAAAATAAAAAGGAAATGTCAGAGAGATACTCTACTACCATGAAAATTTTATCTTTTGAAATGGAAGTTCTGTAATTGGGTTTGGTTCATATATGTATACATTAAAGCATATTTCTGTATTGCTAGCATGGGGAATATGGGAAGCAGGGACTTTGGTTTGAGGATGCAGAGATCTTGGGTTAAAGGATGAGAATAGAGTTGAACAGATGAGAATTAAAATGCTCAGGCCTTGGAGAGCAGGCACCCATCACCATCACCACACATGCGCCTCTACTGAAGAGCAAACAAAAAATTGTGCAGGCCGGACGCCGTGTTTCATGCCTGTAATCCCAGCACTTTGGGAGGCTGAAGAGGGCGGATCACCTGAGGTCAGGAGTTTAAGACCAGCCTGGCCACCATAGTGAAACCCCATCTCTACTAAAAATACAAAAATTAGCCAGGCATCATGGCGCACACCTATAACCCAGCACTTTGGGAGGCTGAGGGAGATGGATAACTGGAGGCCACGAGCTCGAGACCAGCCTGGCCAACAGGGTGAAACCCTGTCTCTACTGGAAAAAACACAAAAATTAGCCAGGTATGGTGCCGTGTGCCTGTAACCCCAGCTACTCAGGAGGCTTAGGCAGGAGAATCGCTTGAACCTGAGAGAGGGAGATTGTAGTGAGCCGAGATCACACCATTGCAGTCCAGCCTGGATATCAGAGTGAGACTTCGTTTCAATAATAATAATAATAATAATAAGTTTGTGCAAATATAACTGCCCCACCCTCACCTCTTTCTCTCTCTCACAGATCTATAGTATCCCTGGTTCCTTCCTATTTAATTCTCCTCATTAAAAAAAGAAATATATATGTTCATTGCTATCTTCACATGCTGATTTTATTTGACCATAAATGACTTTGTTTTGAAATCAAGTCCTGCAGTTTCATTTACATGCCTTTTATTTCAAATTTTAGACTAAAAGGTTTTATGTCCTGTTGACTGAACTGTATACCTCAGAGAGTTAGCCAAAAAAGCAGATGGTGTTTTGGTTTGGAGAGGACGTGGGTAGCTCTGTGACCCGTCCCTGCAATCAGCTGTGTCTGTTTTCAGGCAGGGCCAGTCCTAAAGCCTTATTTGGAGCCTTGGTTTGGGGAGGAGGATCAAGAGAACAAATGAAGGTCTTTTCCTCGGCTAGCCCCCATGTGTCTGCCTCTGCTGTTCGGGGCCTCTTTCTGAGAGCAGGTCAAGGACATGTGTGCTGCCCTCACCTGCATCTTCCAGCTGTGACAGCCATCTGCTCAGCCCAGGGCTACCTGCCAGGTTCCTCCCTGACCCACAGCTGCTGTGTTACCAGGACAAAAACCCACACACACAGTGCCCTCTTGGTGAGCCCTTGTTAGGCCTGGCCTGGGCTTCCTAGCACGCACTTCCTTTAACTCCCACCCCTGACCTTCCACAGTCCATGTCATGCTGGACCTTTTGGCCTCTAGGATATCCCCAGCCCGGAGAAGAAAAAAGTAAAGGCCAATGGATCCCAAGCCCTGAGCTGCTAACGATGTAGGGGCTGGGTGGGGGAATGTAAGTGTGTACATATATATCATAATTTGTAAAATGACTTTATAAGCATATACTTACCTCAGGGAATCTTACATTATATATACTATATAAAGTGGTGATTAATTGGTAAACACACTGAACATCACTGTTTTAGATACTAAAGAACTAAGACAATAAGGATCTAAAATGGTTATGTTAAAAATTCTGTGAACTCTAGCCTTTATGACTAATTACTATAGAATATAACACTTATGGCCAGGCGTGATGGCTCATGCCTGTAGTCATAGCACTTTGGGAGGCCAAGGCAGCTGGATCACTTGAGGCCAGGAGTTCAAGACCAGCCTGGCCAACATAATGAAACCCCATCTCTAGTAAAAAGATAAAAATTACTGGGCATGGTGGTGCATGGCTGGAGTCCCAGCTACTCAAGAGGCTGAGGTGGGAGGATTGCCTGAACCGGGCAGAGGCTGCAGTGAGCTGAGATTGTGCCACTGCACTCCAGCCTGGGCAACAGAGCAAGACTCTGTCTCAAAAAAAAAAAAAAGAAAAAGAAACGTATGTATCTTTAAATATGCAAATTTATATATATAGTTTGATTATAATTCAACTATTTATGCAGTAATTTGTAACTAGTTGCTAATACAGTGTAGATGTCCATCACAATCGGAAGAAGATTGGAAAGATGTTGATTATTTAGTGTTCAGTGGAAAAAATTTTTTTTGCCTAGGAATGAGTGGCAGTGTCATATAGTACAAAAAGCATTTCACTTTGAGCCAAAATTCCTTGGTTTAGTTTTCATTGAAAATAACACGTATCGTGCCATGCTCTGGAGTGTGCTCACTACTAGCTGAGATGATTCCTAGTCCGAGCTCTACCCTCCCCACCCCACCCCACCCCACCCCACCCTCCCCACTGCCCTGGGAGCTTAGAGACTAGAGCATTCCTGACTGGTATGCAAGGTGTGATGGTCGCAGAGTGTGCATGGGTGTTGTACTCACACAAAAGGAAGGCATCTGACCAGACTGAGGGATCGGGGTGGGTGGAGGGACTTCTTGGAGGTGGCATCTGACCTCATTAGGCAAATAAATCCACTCAGTGAAGAAGGGGGCGGAACTTTTTGAGCAGAAGGACCAGTAAGTGAAAAGGCACAAGAGAAGAATGAACATCCAGTGTAGCAAAACTGAAGGCAGCTGCATTTCAGTGGGGCTGGCAGGTGAAGCTTGTGAGGGGAAGCTGCCCACCCTCTCCAGGCGTTGATTTCTTCAGCTGTCAGCTGGGGAGATGGACATGGTCATCTCTGAGAGCCAGTCTAGTTCAAACACTGTTCCAAATCTGTAACTGATTATTATGAGCTGGAAAGTGACATGGTCATCTCCGAGAGCCAGTCCAGTTCAAACACGGTCTCAAATTTGTAACCGATTATTACGAACTGGAAAGTGACATAGTCATCTTTGAGAGCCAGTCCAGTCACAGACACTGCCTCAAATCCGTAACCCATTATTATGAACTGGGAAGTGACATGGTCATCTCTGAGAGCCAGTCCAGTTCAAACACTGTCCCAAATCTGTAACTGATTGTTAGACTGCTGAGGAAGAGGAAGGTTAAAAAAAAAAAAAAAACCCTGCATCCAGGATGAGCCCCCCTTCCACGAAGATCGCTTCCAGTCAGTTTCGGCATTGCCTCTGTTGCTCTCATACTTTCTTCTGAACATTGTGTTTTCCCCCTGTCTTTTTCTAGGCTGTTCTTGCTGGAGATTTAATTCTTTCTGCAGCATCTATAGCTCTGGCACGAATTGGAAATACAACTGTTATATCTATTTTAACCCAAGTTATTGAAGATTTGGTGCGTGGTACGTTGATTCTCATTTTTCTTCTTTGTTATTCAATCCTGGTGTTTAGCCAGGCAATAAAGCTACCTCTTGAATGACCCCTTTCGTTCTTTATAGGTGAATTTCTTCAGCTTGGGTCAAAAGAAAATGAGAATGAAAGATTTGCACACTACCTTGAAAAGACCTTTAAGAAGACCGCAAGCCTGATAGCCAACAGTTGTAAAGCAGTATGTACGTTCTGTCTTTCTTCAAGTTAAAGCCTCATGCTCTTTTTTGGGAGCTAATTCTCCTAGAAAATGTTTCGGTGAAGAATCATAGTACCCCAAAATCCCAAGAGGTTAATGAGGAAAAGAATGACATCCCCAAACAATAGAGGACTTCTGCTGTGTTTTCACTTTTGCCATCTTCTTCTGGTATGCAGGTGTTGACTTTTCATCTTTTCTTCCCAAGAACTGAACCAAATAAGCCTTCCCACACCTTCTCCAATCTAATTGCCAAACAGTGTATCATTCTGAACAATTTATTATAAATAATTTCTCTAATGGTGGTTGTCACACACACTGTTTCTGACACTTCACCTTTTAAAAATGAAGTGCTCTGTTCTTAAATATATTTACCCAGGGCCGGGCGCGGTGGCTCACGCCTGTAATCCCAGCACTTTGGGAAGCCAGAGTGGGTGGATCATAAGGTCAAGAGATCAAGACCATCCTGGCCAACATGGTGAAACCCCGTCTCTACTAAAAATACAAAAATTAGCTGGGCGTGGTGGCGGGCACCTGTAGTCCCAGCTACTCAGGAGGTTGAGGCAGGTGAATTGCTTGAACCTGGGAGGCGGAGGTTGCAGTGAGCCAAGATGGTGCCACTGCACTCCAGCCTGGCGCCTCGTGAATATATATATATTCACCCAGGAAAAAATCTCTTAGATTGTACTAGCATTCTCTATACTTTTTTTTTTTTTTTTTTTTTTTTTTTTTGAAACAGTCCCTTGCTGTGTGGCCTAGGCTACAGTGCAGTGGTGTGATCTTGGCTCACTGCAACCTCCACCTCCCCGGGTTTAGGTGATTCTCCTGCCTCAGCTTGCTGAGTAGCGTGGACCACAGGTATGGACCATCACATCCTACTAATTTTTGTATTTTTCATAGGCATGGGGTTTTGCTATGTTGGCCGGGTTGGTCTTGAACTGGCCTCAAGTGATCTGCCCACCTTGACCTCCCAAAGCGCTGGGATTATAGGTGTGAGCCACCTCACATGGCCAATCCTTCTAATATTTTTACATGAAATATACACAATTCCTATTTCTTCAGAGTATAAGCTGAGTATAAGCCATAACTGTTTTCTCCTTGCTTTCTCTCTGCCTTCCCTCCACTTTGCATACACATGTGTACACTTTTCATTGAGTGAGTAATACCTTTAATCTGTAGACCAATGTTTGGTATTCATTGTTAGTCCAAGAATGAAAAACAGTCTCTCCATAGAATTGTTCATCTGCCCATCTCTAAGCCTGACAAATACACAGAGCTAAAAGCTGGACAAAGGATGTTAGAGACAGAATGCTTATTCTCAGGTGTCACAAGGAAAAATTAGCATTCAGACAAAAAGTTTTCCCAGCAAGGCAATTTTACTTTCTGCAGAAAGGGTGCAGAAAGGAGAAACGCTATTTTTTTTCCTCACAACACCTAAAAACAAGCATTCTGTCTCTAACAAATGACATTCCCATGTAATGACAGCTGCAAATGAGGAAGACCTCTAAAGGTCACCTGTAAATTGCTGTCATGATAGACTCCTAACATAATTAACAGGTAAAGAGAGTTTTTGCTCAGAACTCTCAGGTGAAGAAGTTGCTTGTGTTAGTGTCTCTGTTTTGAAAACGTTGAGAAATGTATAATAGCAAGCCAAAAAAACAAATGAGGACAAACTTTTCTTCCTAAAAAGACCTGATGGAAACCTTAAGGAATGTGAATTATGTAGAAAACGCCAGCCACAGTCTCGACTGCTTTTGTCTTTTCATTAAAAGGGCTATTATGTTTTTATTTCCAAGAAATTACATGCTTTTTTTTTTAAGTGAGATGGAAGAAAATATAGATATGAGATGCTAAATAAGAGTATAGCCTGTTTTAAATGGGTACCCTTAACACTTTTACAATCCTTTATATATTACCATGCCCTTGATGGCCCAAATCTCCCTGAAGGTCAGGATCCATCCTCTTAACACATTAGGGTGCCTTAATATTACTTATTAATATTTATCCTTAAGAGGATGTGTTAAGTGAAGCTCATTGATAATTTCACAAGTTTGAGACTGCAAACTTAGAAGCATTAGTATGGCCAGGTGAGGTGGCTCACACCTGTAATCTCAGCATTTAGGGAGACTGAGGCGGGGAGGTTTGCTTGAGACCAGAAGTTCAGGACCAACCTGGGCAGCATAGCAAGATCCCCATCACTACTTACAAATATTGTTTAAAAAATAAAGCCTTAGAAGCATTAGCAGGTAGTGAGACTGTGTCCGCACCAAGCAGACATCCCGTAGGCACAGAGGGGTGGGACCAAATTGGAGCCAGCACAGAAATTCACTCAGTAATGGAATCTTACAAAGGGTCCAAAGAAATGGACCTGAATCATGACACAGAGGTTTCTTTGCGGTCACTGTTCTCTGCTTAAGAACACAGGTATTCTTTTTTTTTTTTTTTTTTTTGAGACGGAGTTTCACTCTTGTTACCCAGGCTGGAGTGCAATGGCACAATCTCGGCTAGGCGCAATCTCGGCTCACCGCAACCTCCGCGCCCTGGGCTCAGGCAATTCTCCTGCCTCAGCCTCCTGAGTAGCTGGGATTACAGGCATGTGCCACCATGCCCAGCTGATCTTTTGTATTTTTAGTAGAGACGGGGTTTCACCATGTTGACCAGGATGGTCTCGATCTCTTGACCTCGTGATCCACCCGCCTCGGTCTCCCAAAGTACTGGGATTACAGGCGTGAGCCACCGCGCCCAGCAGGTATTCTTTTATAAAGAGATGCACCTCATTCTTCAAAGATTAGCAGCTGAGCAGTGGACATGTTAACGTGGCTGGACCTGTATTAAAAATGAAATATTTCATGCTGCCCACTAGGGGGCATGCTGGCATCATCCCAGCACTACCCCTTTTTCATGTGGTTTATTCCTAAACTCCAGAGCTCTAAGAATAATAAAGCAAAATCATAGTGTGAGCTATTTGAATAAAAGTTTCTATATTTAAGTGCCTATGGGTGGCAATATTCCAGAGGTGTTACGGATTCAAAATGGCTATTTTTATGTACTGTTGGTATTTAAAATGCAAAGCCATGCGAGCTCCAAAGAAATGCATGCAAAGCAAATTAGATGCATCAAAAAGGGGGGAGGAGGAGAATTGAAAGGGCAGAATTATTACAGAAGAACTACTAATGGAATTGCAAAATGTATTGAGAATTGGAAGGAAACTTACAAGCTACATTCTACTAAGGGTACCATTTCTTCATCTCCCCTCTGTCTACCACATTTTTAGTGAAAATAATATTAAAATCTCTGAGAGGGCTGTCTAGGGGGATTGTTTTGTGATTGACTGATATTAAAATAGAGTTCATTTTAGACCAGGCTCAGTCACTCATGCCTGTAATCCCAGCACTTTAGGAGGCCGAGGTGGGTGGATCACTGTAGTCCAGGAGTTCGAGACCAGCCTGGCCAACATGGCAAAACCCCATCTCTACTAAAAATACCAAAATTAGCCAGGCATGATGGTGCACGCCTGCAATCCCAGCTACTTGTTGGGAAGCTGAGGCAGGAGAATCGCATGAGCCCAGGAGGTGGAGGTTGCAGTGAGCCAAGATCGCTCCACTGCACTTCAGCCTAAGCAACAGAGTGAGACTCTTCCTCAAAACAAAAACAAAAACAGAATTCATGTTATTGTCAAAAGATGAGTTATTGATTTGCAAATGTGGTCATGCAAAATACGTTTTGCAGCTTACCAATGAAGACTGTGGCTTGTTCCCCAGAAAATCTGGTAGACATGAGCTCTGAGGGGTCAGGGGCGTGTCCAGTGTTGTTCAGCCAGATAGTAACTGAGCCGAGACTTGAACCCAGAGCTGGATATGGTAATCATGCCTTGTTTTTCCCCCTTTTTCTTTTGTTTCCTGGTATTCTAGTCTCTCCAGTGCTTCTTGTGGCCTGAAATTAATAGGCTGTCTTCCTATTACTTGATTTTCAAAGCCCCAGAGTGCCACTACAGAATTGCGTCTTGTGGGTCACATTAGCAGAACACTCTTTTCTTTTTTTCTGTTCTTGGTAATCTCTCTGTTAATTTATTGTTTGTATGTTTCAAATTACTGTTTTTTTAAATTATTATTATACTTTAAGTTCTGGGGTACCTATGCAGATCGTGCAGGATTGTTACACAGGTATACACTCGCCATGTTGGTTTGCTGCATCCATCCCCCTGTCACCTACACTAGGTATTTCTCCTAATGCTATCCCTCCCCAATCCCCCCACCCTCTGCTATCCCTCCCCTAGCTCTCCCGTACCCCAACAGGCCCTGATGTGTGATGTTCCTCTCCCTGTATGTCCATGTGCTCTCATTGTTCAACACCCACTTATGAGTTAGAACATGTGGTGTTTGGTTTTCTGTTCTTGTTTCAGTCTGCTGAGAATGATGGTTTCCAGCATAATCCTTTTGAGATGGCGTCTTGCCCTGTCACCCAGGCTAGAAGGCAGTCGTGCAATCTCAGCTTACTGAAGCCTCTACCTCCCAAGTTCAAGTGATTCTCCCATTTCAGCCTCCTGAGTAGCTGTGATTACAGGTGCACACCACCATATGCCACACCCAGCCTCCATTTTTTTTTCTTTTACAATATTTGTCTCTATCTATAGGTCTCATTCCGATCTTGCCAGCTTTCCTAAAACTGTCATAACAAAAGGGAAAACAGTTTTCTGTTGCAGCATCCAGTCCAGGATCTCATGTTGCGTTTAGTTGTCATGACTCTGGTCTCTTGTCATCTAGAACAATCTTTCTTTGTCTCTCATTACCTCGGTATTTTGAAGAATGCAGGACAGTTATGTTGCTCAGTCAGGCTTTTCTGATATTTTGCAAGATTCCATCCAAGTTATGAATGTTTGGCAAGAATACCACAAGAGCGATGCTGTCCTCAGCTCCTCACACCAGGAGGCACATGCTATCTGTCTGTCCCATTACTGGTGATGCGTGCCGGGATCACTTGATTAG